GAAAACAGCACAGAAAACGTAAAATTATTTTATACAACACTGAAAAACCTAAGAAGCAACAAAGAAACGAAAACTGAAACAAATAATAAACAAGGAAGGAACAATAATAAACGACGATAAGACAATAATGGAAAGATGGAGGGAACATGTCCAGCTGATACTGAATGGAAATCAAGCGAATACAATGGAGAACAAAAGCCACATCAAAGAGTATCCATGAGAAATACGGAAAATCAGAAACTATAGAAAAAGAAGAACTGGAAGAAGCAATAAGAAAGATAAAGATTGGAAAAGCACCGTGAAGCGATAAAGTAGCACCAGAAATGATGAAATATATAGGAGTAAAAGCAAAAGAAAAATTTTTATACATATATAACCTAATATGGAAGAGAAAAGTAATACCCAGAGAATGGACAAATGCAGTAATTACCTTTATACAAGAAAAGAAACACAAGAGACTGTAAGAACTATAGAGGTATATCACTACTATGTGTAGCAGCAAAAGTATACGAAACCATAATAGAAAGCAAAATCAGGAAAGAAATAGAACATAAATTAGAGGACGTACAAAGTGGATTCAGGAAAGGACACAACACACAAGACCATATATTCACCATGGGATGGAAGATCGAATAGAAGTAATGATAGACCAACAAAAAAAATACGACATTCAACAAATACTTAGCAACAGTAACCACAACAAAGGAGACATCGAGGACGATCTTAACAACAGAATGGAAAACACAGGAAAACTATTCCAAGCACTAAATAGAGGATTCCTTAATAACAAAGAAATATCAACAAAGACCAATATGACAATATACAAAACAATATATAGACCTACAGTGACACATGGAGCAGAAAATTGGATATTAAACAAAAGACTTCAGAGCAGAATTCAGGCGGCAGAGATGAAATACCTGCCTGTAAAAAGAACTGATAGAATCAGAAATGAAGAAATAAGAGAAAGACTCAAAATCAAACCGATACTCGACTCAATCAAGGAGAAAAAATTGGCATGGTTCGGACATCTAACCCGGATGGACAATAATAGACAAGTAAAAAGAGTGTGAAACACCAAACCAATAAGGAAGAACAGAAGAGGAAGAGCCATTAAGGAATGGAATAGTGACATCTCGCAGATACTGCAGGGTAAGGGTAAGACTTGGCAGGAAGCAACACAGATGGCATCCAACAGGAAGGAATGGAGAAAGTTAATTAAGAGCTAGGACACCTCAGAAGATTGTAAAATATTGTAATTTAATGAATTGTATTATAAACGCCCCAACAGCGAAAAGTACAAATGGGTTTAATGATTAAGTAAAGTAACGTAAAATGAGAGTTTGTAAAATTATTTTTGTTAAGAGTGTAGGCGCAAAATTTCGGGACAAATGCTTTATAAATGCATTTATTTTTTTCGAATCTTGAGAAAACTAATAAGTATTTTTTAAAAATTTAAACGCAGAATGAAAATTACATTATTACCGAGGGCATGAAAAATTACATTATTACCAAGGGCCGAAAGTCCCTTAAGAGTAAACAAAAAGTTTCTTTAGAATGAGATATTTAAATTAAAAATCACATTTAATTTCCTCTTTTTTTTTCACCCCTGTAACTTACTAAAATAAACATTATAGAAGTTTTCAGGGACTTTCGGCCTCGATCACAATGTAATCTTTCATTCTGCGTTTCAATTTTTCAAAAATACTTATTAGTTTTCTCAGGACTCGAAAAAAAATGAATGCATTTAAAAAGCATTGGCCCGTAATTTTGGGCCTACGCTCTTAACTTGTTGCGTAATTATTACAAAAATAGCTTCAGAAGTCGATTTTTTGACCTTTATAACAAATATTCACCTTTAAAAATTTCCAAGAGTTTCACTGACGATTTGAAATTGTTTATCCCAAAAAGCTTTTATCGACAACGTTATTAAGCGTAAACTATTATACATGTTATGCAATCCTACAAAAACTCAGGTGTGTGCTTTCCACCTTAGAAACAAGCATGCCCGAAGGACACTGGAGGTGGAATGACAGAGAGCCATCTATGTGGCCAACAATTGTAAATAAAAAATTTAAAGCTGTTAGTGTTCCGGACAGGGACAGTAAGTATCAACGAAAATTGATGTTTTTTTTTTTTTAATTTATCAAAAGAAGTTGCTAAATACCTGTATCAAAGAGTGTCACGAAAAAAGCTTTTGCTTGATCATTTGTCTTGTTTAAAATTGGATAAACATAATCTTCCCCTTTATCTAAAAGCATTTCGAGAACTTATATAAAAGTGGGCTTATTCTTCGCTTAAAAATCTCACAATTAACAGCTCTACTATATTATGCTACGACGCTATTACGACGCGAACCTCGAACGTCAAAATAAACAAATTTTCAATTAAAATTATGATTTATTCCCATAAAAAATAGTAGATTTATAATTTGCTATTTGAAAAATATAAGTCTATATTTTCAACTATTTTTGGAATAGGTACTGTGTAAAATTATACAGTATAGAGCTATTATTATAAGAGCCGTTTTTTTATTTTCCTGACTATTTATCGATTATTTTTGTTACTACTGTGCTACTTACTGTATTAATGGATTATACCAATTATTCATTTATAGCGTTAAAAAAAAGCGTAACATATAACCCTAACCGCACTTTTTGTATGTCAATGGCACAATATTGATACTTTTTGTTCTTTAATTAGGCGAAATGATGAGAATGTTTCGAATGAATAGAAATGAATATGTATATCTTTCGATTGAGCAAAATTTGTGAAAAACTCACTTTGGATTTGTTCAGTTAAGTAACCAAAAAAAACTTATTTCTAACATTTAAGTACTTTTTGTCTTTTAATTTAAGATTAAGTGAACGTAAGCATTTTTTCAAAAAAAAAGTTTGTTCTTATCAATTTTATGTTCAGTAGTGAAATTGGTAATAGTTTTATAAGTCTAGCAGCAGTTTTACGTGACTTTATGGTAATAAACTGGTTACATTGATACATTAAGTGTATCACGTAAGATAGAGAAAACTGAAAGATATTGAGGTAAGTCTACGTTCACAAATAAGGATTTTATTTTAGATCCCCACGTTGTGCGCCAATTGTAACACTTAGACTGAGTTTAAAATCTTGTGAACCTGACGCACGCATTTGGCGACGTCAATTTTCTTAAGGTTTTGAAATATGTCTACAATGCATAGTAATCAAAACCAGTAAAGACTTTCCCTCTACTCACAATTATCTTCTTTTCAGTCCATGAACTATTCAGCAAAAATTATATTAACCTTTTTTGAAAAAATAATTAATGTTCCAAATTGAAACAGTAAAAATAGCTTTACCGTGTTTTTAGTTGCTTTCATAACAAACAAAATCAAATCAACCACGAAAGAAAATGCTTGTTCGTAATATAAGAGATTTAAAAAAAAACATTTTGATTTCGAACGTTAAAATAAATTAAAACTATATTTATTTATGAATATATTTTGTTTACTAGCTACTTAAAAACATATTTTAACCTTACACAAAAGTCTTTTAGCTGTCTAAACATTGCATGAGAAATTCACTTTGTGTTTTTAGTAAAATAGATGGCAATATAAAGAGATCAACAATAATAGAATACACACTAGGACATTCTTATAAAGTAAACGGAGTATTTTGTGTTGGCACATACGTCTCAAACCACATATAAAAGAAAATAATCCAGTAAAATTTTGTTACTTCCTTGCAAAAATAATACAACTATATAAATATGTAAAAAGTAGATGCAGGCACATCAAAATATTGAACTATTTCCATGATATCAATATCTATAAACTAAAAAAACGACAATATTGTTTCTGCAAGGCCAAGTCATATTTTTTCTGGACTACGATATAAAAGAAGTAGCTGAAAACACGTAGTAGATGAAGCTAAAAGCCATTCCCTCTTGTTTTTAATCTAATCTATTTTCAAACTTAATGCTCTAACTTTGATCGTGGTTTCAAAAGGCTTTCTAATATAGAAAACAAATTTTTAAGTTGTTCCATTGCACAATAACAATTTTTTAACGTTGCTATTAGTTTACTGTTTGGAAAACATACAATTTGGAAGATTTATTCGCTTATAATATCACTGATACATTTTTTTCCGAAACTAAATAAATCTTTTATGTTTTATAGTAAATGTAGTGCAAAAAACCTAATGCTGCTAAATTAGAATTTGCGCTTTAGTTTTTTGTAAAAAAGTTGTTTAATTCTCGCTAATCACTGGGTAATATCACAATATAAACGTTTGTATTACAAAGGAATAAAATTTCAGAAGTAGCGTGTTTTCCAAAAAAAAAAAATATCATAAATTTATCCCAAACGTTTTCAGAAACATATGTGTCATATAATTAACATTTTATTACCAAGCATTTATCAAAAATATAATTTATTAAAAAGCTAACTGCCAGGTATTCCAGAATTATTCTGAACGTCTAACACGTTACAGTTTGGTAACAAAATTTGTGATTGCATGACACATACGCGGTTAACTTTTTTGGCAAGGATTTACCACGGGAAAATAAAAAAGCGTCCAGTGTTGGTATATCTCGAGTACACTATTTACTTATAGTGTCTCAGTTTTGAGATGTTTTTTGGGAAATTTCAGGTAATTGAAGAAAATTCGTTCTTAAAAAATGTTTCAGCTCTTAGGTCAATTGTACGTACAATTTATTAAAATTTAGTTATTAAAATTTAGATAAAAGTTTTAAAACGGTAACAAGAAAAATAGTCCCCAAAAATCATCTGCCATCACAATATTTTTCTTTCTGAGTGGATCTACAAACTGGAGATTTACCATTACTGAACTGATATAGAAATAGTAGAAATAGCCTCTAGTTCGAATTCTCTTATCAATAAAACTCACAATTTCTCCTCTTATTCACAGCTACCCCGACAAATAAAAATAAATAAAGCTGTCTCAAAATTGTTCCGCGAATAAAATTAGATGAAAAAAAAAGTAAATATTAAAAATAAACAAAAAAGAAGTAAAAATTTAATGTACTGTATCACTACTTAATATTCTTAAAAAAATAGATAATCGTTTATATGAAGATGAATATGATGATGCCGTTTTTGTACGAGAGTGTATGTACAAGATAGCGCATATACTATCAATGCTATTGTGGCTGACCTGGATTGTGAGGCAAATTCGTTGGCGCCCCCTGAAAATAAAAAAAATATATAAAATTAAAGTATGAATCATAAAACTCCTAGAACTAAAAGTTCATAACGTAGTCAATTAAACTCACATTTTTACATACATTTAAAATTAGGAGAATACAAATAGGTTGCCAGTCAAAAAGTGGCCGCATATATTTTTAATTTAATTAAAAATAACTAATTTTATTTCGTTCATTTATTTTTTAAATAAAATACGCTGCTCGTGACGTATATGCATGTTTTTTACACTGAGCGGCAAAAAAAGTGGCCACCCTATAAATTTCCACCCCACAAATCGAGACCCTACTGTATAGTGTACCTCGGATATTGCTAGAGACAGATCATTAAGTAAATTGTAAAATTAATAATAATTTAGTATATAAATAAAGTTAAATACTTACAGGTAATGTGGGGTAGTGTGGCCCAGAGAGCATATGATGAGGTCCAGGACCTAATTTAGGTCCGTCTTCGGCTTTTTCTTCCTCCCGCCTTTTTAAACAAGCTGCTTTTGGATTAAGATTCCGCTCTGAAATCATCAAACCATTCACAGTATTGACATTACTCACATTGTCCCCTGTTTAAGAAAAAGGAAAAAAAATCAAAATGTGTGATAGATACATGCCATTTGACACTTACATTGCAAGAGTACCCAGAAAAAACTGTATTAACTATTTTATAAAATTTATAATATGTAATTATTTATTGTATAAAGTAGGTTACAAATATTTAATGCTAAATTGATTAAAAATAACAAAACTATGTAGACATTAGGAATAGTAGAAAGGAGCAGCACATAGTTTTAGAATATAGTTAAATGCCCCCTAAATAATATAAAAAGGAACTGCTGGATGCAAAAACCTGTGTAGTGTAAACAATAAACCCTGGAGATTCCCATCCGGTAAAATCCATAACAATGTTGCAACAATCATCGAGAGAATAAACTCTCTCAACAAGAACTTTACTCTCAAAATCATAAACGGCCCTAATTCGAACACCCACGAAGCCGTAAAAAATTCCTGTTCTTTTTGCGATCACGTAAGATCCCGGAAGCCAAAAAACAAAAAACTTCACCTACCGTTCATTCTAATGCAGGCTTGCATTGACGAACTCCCGCGTGAGTACGCCGATATCCTCAAAGCTATACCGCTAGTTTACCGTACCTACTTATAATCCAATCATTTTCCTTACCCCAGACAGGGTGAGATTGGCTTTTTGCGGTTTCCCAATCTCACTACTCAATAATACCTGTCCGTCCCCCGAGAAATCTGTATCTGTAGAGTAGGGAGGGCGAGTTAAGTTTCACAGCACTTAGGCCACAATTGACCCATTGTGCATCCTCCCAGGGAGCTGTCACCCTTAGCTCATTGTCCATCCTGCCATTTCTAGGAAGGTGGACAAGTCACCAGGAGACATCTCACTTATGTGGGCAGGTGTAGGCCAGGACTCGCCGAACGCGTACTCTCGTATTAACGATAACTCTGGGCATTCACATAGGACATGCTCTACAGTTTCGTCTTCTCGTTCACACTTCCTACATAGAGGTGTGTCTACTAGCCCCAGTGTGTGGAGGTGTTTGCTTAGTTGACAATGACCAGTTAAAAAACCAACTGCCAAACGTAGATTTTTCCTGGTCATTCCCAAGTACTTCTTTGATGTTGACTCTTCAAGGTTACTTAGTGTTAACCTGGCAAGTCTACATCCTTTCCCTTCTTCCCATCTTTTTACGGTTTGCGTATGGGAGTGACATTTGACAATTTCCGCGATTGTTGTAGTTGACCAACCAAAAAGATCCCCAGGTCCTAGGAGTCTTAGGCCTGCCGCCTTCCTAGATAATTGGTCAGCAATGCGGTTGCCTTTATTCCTATTGTGTCCTTTAACCCACTTCAGGATGATGGTATTACCATCCGAAGCTTGAGTTAATGACTCGTGACACTCCATTACTAAACCTGATGTGACACGTGGTCTATTCAAGGTTAGTAGCGCTTGTCTGCTATCTGTGCAGATCATTATAGTTTTCCCTGCTATACCTTTTTGGGTTATCTCTTTTGCGGCTATGGAAATACCAGTTAGTTCTGTCTGAAGTACACTGGCATTTTTGCCCATACCCCACTTTATTCTTAGGTTCAGTGATCTGGAGTATATCCCGCATCCTGAGCCTTCTTTCATTTTGGAGCCATCGGTGTATATGCAATAGGCATTTGCCACGTTTGTCTCCGTACACTGTCTTGTTTCAATTTTGTAGGGTTTGTTAAAGACGAACTTTGGTTCAATTGAGTCGCAGCCTGCCTGTAGTACTGGTAACGCATCCAGCTCTCCCCGCCAGAAACGAGTTCTCAATTGTCCCATTCCTACATCAAGGTTTGCACCAGCTGAGCGCAGTCGCATCATTGTCACTAAAGCCACCTCTTTGACATATATGTCTAGAGGCGTGATGCCAATGATCAACTCCATTGCAGCAGTTGGTGTTGTTTTCATGGCACCTGTTATATTTATGCAAGCCATCCGCTGAATATGGTTTAGTTTGTTAATCGCTGTTGCCTGTAGCGCTTTTGGTACCCAAGCAATAGCTCCGTAAGTTAGCATTGGCCTAATGACAGCGGTGTAGACCCAGGCGATCACCCTGGGCGTGAGGCCCCAGGTGCGTCCCCCGAGAAAATAGCCGGAACTATTTTCTCAACTGACCTGGCACTGATTGAAACTGTCACGCAAACGCAAAAGATCAATAACAAGAATTATAGTGCAATGCAGTTCTGAAGTTGGACGTAGACGTAAAAACGGCTTGCAGAAACAATAGTAACTAGAGACACAGCATCTGCCACACTTTTCGATAACAGCGGCTCCATCTCAGTAGCCTCCAAGATGCTTCGCTAACAAACGCCACCGAAAACTTGCCCAGTGACGTTTTTGGCGCAGCTTTGCCTTGTTCTGTGCGACACAAACAAATTCAATAGCAAACCTGAAGACAGCTAAATGGGAACAAATCACGTTCATATCCTTTCGAAATAAAGTATCCTTACCTATCCTAATAATAAATAGTGAAAGAAAGCATCTGATAAGTATCAAGCAAGGTAGCTCTACCATTAGGCCACAGTTCAATCAAATTTAATGACACCTGTACTCAAATACACTTTGTCTCTGACCTTGAGATGTGCAGTGGTTTTTGAGACAATATTTTCTGTCTTTGCTGACATGCTCTCTTCTTCATTTGCGCATATTTATACGGCTAAAATCAAATTGGGCCGTCTGTACATTGTTTTATGTTGTTTTAGTGACGTAATCATATAAAATGACAAACTTGCGCCATTGTGTAAAATTATTGTAAATTAAATCGTATCGCAACTAATACTTCATTTGAAAGCCATTGTGTCACTAATTCTTGTTCTTATTTTCTGTTTCCAAATGGCGACTGGTGCCGACATGGAAAAAATATAAACTACCTACTCTAGCTAATAATTTTGTAGTCTTAAACTTTTAGTTTATGGAAAACGCACGAACACATCAATTTATTTTTTCAGCTTCCCACTTTTTTCGTTTTTTACTGAAATCTGTCAAAAATACGCCATACATTATTTCAAAATTCTTGGTTGATACAAGAGCTTTCAAAAAATGTGTGGCACGTTATATTATATTGATAAAATAAAATATCTTTTTTGTGGCGTTTCGACATACAGATCATTTTTTCAATGTCTTTCTAAATAAGTTTCATGTGTTATTTGAAAACAACAAAAAAAAACAAAAGAATTTACATATATCGCTTTAAACATCTATGTGTGTTCATCAGAGCTATCCTGACTTGTCTTATCACTGCCGCGTGACGGCTTAATGGTAGTAGTGTTGTACACTTTCCGTATATTTTGAGTGTTGGAGAAGGCATCATTCATTACACATTCTGCTTAAAACAGATTGGTACCACGGTCAACCCACCATATACATAGGATATGTCTAGAATACATCTGTAAAGCCTCAAGCCGATTCATAATTAGCTTAGTCAATATCTATGCTTCCATTCTGTACAGCACTACTGTGAATATAAAACATTTTGTTTTAAATGATGTCTTTGTTCCCTAAAATGGTTCTCATCCTAACGAATGCCGTTTTTCCTTTTATTACTTGTTGTTGAATTTCTACTGAGTGATCAGTAATTTAACTGTGATCATTTTACAATAAACAATAAATTCTTTAGTCCCAAATTTTAAATAAATATCAGAATTATGTTTTTTAGTCCTTAATGGGCAGGATACCCCTACACCGAATATAAAGGATATGTTGAATGATGCTTATAAACTCAAATATGTCAATGAACAAAGAAAAAATGGCCCCAGTCTCGGGAAAAATTTCCTGGTTTGGCATGAAGAATTTATTTATCAATTTCTTAATACCTTTTTTTAAGACAGAAAATCGAAAGAAATATAATTTGGCAAATTAGAGTATTACTGAATTAGACTATTAATGAGTAAAAACACATATATGTTACAAGAACAATTAACACTACAGTCACTAACTAGTCACAGTGACCTAAACTTCGCCATCTAAATGCAACTAATATTTAGGGCATTTTAATCAATTTATCAGTTGTATTTTCACTTCTTGGAGTTCCAACGTTGTAGAAAATTTCAGGTGGTTTGTATTGAATGAGAATTGTAAAAAATATTTATGTCAGTCGCAAAAGAGAATAAAGAAAAAACTCTATATGGAACACAGAAAAAATTTTTGAAAACGTGAATCATTTAGCATTAAAATATTCAAATAGGTCTGTGTTCGGAATCAGAAAATTTTAGCTATATATAATAATTTATAAATTAATACAGTATTTGTGAGGTACACACATTGCATTACCCATTCCTTGAAGACATGACTATGGACGCCCTGTAACAAATTCACGACAATGAACAAATACAAATTGTTAAAACATAACATTATAAACAGTCACTGTTTCACGTGCCAAGATATTGGTTTTGTTTTCTGAATTGCAGAATCAATCCAATTACAATTGTTATTTTGTTGGCCATAATGTTTAGGTGCTTGTCGAATTGATTTATCCAGGTGTTTCCATCTATGAGATATGTTTCGGCTAACCATTTCCCAGCACATTTTCACCTGGTATCCTCTTCCACTTAACAATTGTTAACGAACTTCTTGTTCCTTGTCATCTAACTTCTTGAACTTAGTCATTCTGGCGGAGTCACACTTATTTTCTCAAACACAAAACATTTTAACTTCTCTTATTTGTACCATATTTGTGGAAGGAATTTTGTCGTTCATCAATCTCTTTTAACTGTTTTAAGAGATCACACAGCGGTCATATCTAGAGGTTTACCAAATTCACCTACACTTCATATAGTCCACTGAAAGAAGATCTTTCTCGTGACACTGACCGCTTCAGGCATACGACAGTTGTTTTGAATAGTATAGACCCCTATAACAAGAACCTATTTAGGTTTCTTGTAATCGATTTTTTGACTTTGATTAGTTATTAACAAATTAAGGTCAAAAAACGGTAAATTTTCGCTTTTTTCGTCTATCAGCAAAAAGTGAAGCATTTGAAACGCATTTGAGAATAATACGTATTGATTGTGAGTCATATAAAAACCTTCAAAATGGAGTTTTCTAAATGTTTTTATCATTATTTGTTGGTTAGAAAGTTAAAAGTAAGTCAGAAATTTCGGTTTTTTTATAAATGTTAATAACTTTTTTAAAAATGAACTCCATTTCGGAAATCGTTCTCAAAATACAAACATTAAATTTCTTAAAATAATAATTTATTGTTTGTACTTTGAGAACGATTTCCGAAGTGGAAATTGAAACGTCAATAAACCTAATTGATGGATTCGACCGTTACTTGATGGAAATTCATTTTATGTAAAAATAAAACACTGAAAACTTTGTTTTCAAACTTCCACAAAATTTATTTTAACTATTATCACTACAGCTGTTTCGGCTGATTGCCTTTCTCAAGTGATCTATTTTTGGCATGCGTTTACAATTTATAGTCTCTAATGAAATAGGTTGAGGAGGGGAGAACTGTTTGTCTCAAGTTGGTCATTCAGAATTATATCTGTGTTTTTTAATTTGTTGATTTCCATAGATTCTAACAAAGATAGCTTAAGGCCTTTATCTTGAATGTGAAGAATTTTAAATTTGTCATTAAAAGAATGATTATGATCTATAAGGTGAAGTGAAATTATTATTGAAAATATTATTGAAAGCCTTTTATGTTCTGCTATTCGTTTATTAAAGTTTCTGTCAGTTTAAACCGATGTAAGTTTTTGGGCAGTCGCCACATTGAAGTTTGTACACACCACTATTTAAGTGTTTTTTATTTTGGGTCTTGTTATTTTTAATATATTTGCCTAGGTTGTTATTTGTTCGGAAAGCTGGTGTTATTCCTTTCTTTTTTATGTGTTTGGCTATTTTTGTTGTTATTTTGCCTGTATATGTAATCGCATTATAATAGCATTTTTAAAAATGAAGTAATTCTTCTGTAATGATAACTTGAAACTTCAACTTTGAAAGCGCATGGTTAAATGCTACATTTGGTCAGTCCTCTTATACGGTGTCGAAGCATGGACATTAAAAATATCCACCAATAATCATCTGGAGGCCTTTGAAATGTGGCTGAAAGATGGCCTATTTTGGACACGTAGTAAGGGGAAACCGATATAATATTCTTCAACTTATTATGATGGGTAAAATCGAAGGACGCAGAGGAATTGGTAGAAAGCAGGCCTCTTGTTTGAAGAATATCAGGGAGTGGACAGGAATAAGGAAAGCTGAGCAACTCTTTAGAATAGCTCGCGACAGAGACAGTTTCGCCATGTTAATCGCTAACGTCAAGGGGACTTGATAGGGTACGTTAAGAAGAATAAATACAAAAAGTATATACAAATTAAAAAGAGAAACGTTAAAATCCATAAATAAAAACCAGAGATACAGTTAACAGCTCCTTCCCCCTCTATCGCTTTTGCGAATTTCAAAGCCGGTCAAAACTTAGTATGGCCTTTCAAACGTCGCTAATTAGATCTCTTAAGATCGTGTTAGAAACAAAGATGCTATGAATTTAAATAAAAAAGAGACTAATCTCGTCTCAAATTGGACAACCATTTTAAATTTTTTGAAAATTGCAAACTTTCCAAATATGAAAAAATAATTTTCTACGGGCAATGACTAAAATGATTTTGCAATGTTTATAATTTTAATAATATTGATATAATAAATCTTCTTCTTTCATGAGCTACCCGTAGAATTACTGGAACTTCATTATTTTCTGACTTATATGGTTGCAATAAAAAATAATTTGGGATAAACACATAAAATATGCTTTAAACTATTTGACCGATCGCTTTGAAACTTTGATCATATTTAACACAGCACTTCTTCTTCTTCTTCCTTCTAGTATATAGGCTTATTTCTGCTTCAATATTAGCCTCCTAAATTGTCGCACCACCTTTTTCTTGGTCTGCTAATACTTCTTCGTCCATTTGGTGACTTATCTCATGCTATTCGTACTATTCTATTATCTGCCATTCTACTGATATGTTCGTTCCACTCCTATTTTCGTTTTGTCACCCATCCATTTATGTCTTCTATATTGCATGATCTTCTTATGTTTTCGCTTCTTTCCCTATCCAATAGACTTCTCCCTGATATTCGTCAGAGTATTTTCATCTCTGTTGTTTCTAGTAGTCGTCTTGTTTTAGATGTGTCAGGTCTTGTCTCCGCCGTGTATGTTAATATAGGTTTAATTGCTGCTTTATAGATTCTTGTTTTTGTGTCTTGTCTTAGGTGTTTGTTCTTCCAGATTGTGTCATTAAGAGAACCTGCCGCTTTACTTGCTTTTAAGCTTTGTTGTCGTACTTCTTCTTCAACATCTCCGTAACTAGTTATATAACACAGCACAATATGAAGATTCTAATTTCATTAAAAAAAAAGTTATTAACATTTATATAAAAATACGAAATTTCTGACTTATTTTGCAACTTTCTAAGCGACAAATAAATATAGAAATATTTTAAAAAAAACTTCATTTTGAAGGTTTTTATATGACTTATGAAATTTCTTACTCTCAAATTTGTTTTAAATGCTTCACTTTTTGCTAATAGACAAAAAAGAGAAAATTTACCATTTTTTGACCTAAATTTGTTAATAACTAATTAAGTCCAAAAGATCGACTGCGTGAAACATATATAGGTTCTTGTTATATAGGTCTATACTATTCAAAATAACTGTCGATTGCCTAGAGGGGTCAGAGTCGAAAACTGGGTACTTTTTTTGCTTACTTCCCTGAACTAATGAGTACTCTTCTTGATTTATTTTCAAATATACTTTGTTAATTCATTTCCATCCCATACTTTTAAATTAACGAATATACAACAGTATTATAATATAATCTGTAAGTAAAAACATATACATTAATCATGAACAAATTCACCAAACAGCATGTTTCCATCACCTGTACAATTTTGAAACAGAACATCTCGCAGACTAAAAAGCAACAATTAATGTAAATATATAGAGTGGAGTGAGACAGTTTTTTTTTTATTAATAAAAATTCGTATTTTTTATAACTTTGCTAAACTACATTCTTTATTTGAAATATTTTTTTCTGCAGCTTGCAGATTCTTGGTAAATCGAGTTTTTCATTTGTCCACCCTACGAGTGGGCGTTTTAGGGGGGAGTTAGGGTAGGAGTAGTAACCTTTTTGCATATTTTTTCATAGGTCAAGTCTCTGCCGACTGGACTACAGAAGTGTCCTTCATTCACAACTTCACGCCAAAACGTTCCAGCGCCTTATATGGGACACAAGAATAAAGGCGATATTTCCCAGGAGGCTATGTCTGTGGAAATTGAATTCAGACGTCTTATTTTCACTGTCGGTCTACAGAAAAACAAAATTTAGACTAAAACCGAAATGATATTGAATAGTACCTAAACATTCTTCTTCTTTAAGTTCCATCTTCTATCGAAGGTTGGAAATCATCATGGCTATGCGGACTCTGTTGACTGCCGCTCTAAAAAGTTCTGCACTACTGCATTCAAACCATTCCCTTAAGTTCTTAAGCCAGGCTATTCTTCGTCTTCCCACATTTCGCTTTCCTCGGATTTTGCCCTGCATAATAAGTTGTAATAATGCGTATTTTTGCCCTCTCATCACATGTCCCAAGTACTCAAGTTTTCGTCTTTTAATAGTTAATATTATTTCCGCCTCATTTCCTATCCTTCTAGTTACTTCCATGTTTGACATTCTTTGAATCCATGATATTCGTAGGATTCTTCTGTAACACCAAAATTCAAAGGCGGCCAGCTTATTCAGATGAACTTGTTTTAGTGTCCAAGCTTCCAGACCATAAAAAGAAGAGTAGAGAACACGTAACATCGAAGCATTCTCAGGCGTAGTTCTAACCTTATATCCCGACAACGACAACAAAGAAACTTTTTAAGTTTAATAAATGATGTACGTGCTATTTCAATACGTGTCCTAATTTCTTTCGTTTGGTCTACATCTGATGTTATCCATGTTCCTAAATATTTATAGTTATTAACATTCTCAATTGCAGTATCTTCAATAGTCAAATGGATATTTGCATGTGCAGATTTAGTCATGATCATGCATTTAGCCTAACCTAACCTAACCTAAACATTACAAACCCGTAAGTATTTAAATTTTTAAACACTGTATATGTCAATTTCCTGTTCAACAAATAAATCTACTTCCACTGCTTGCAGTTTATAGTTTTCGATTACTGTTAATTTGAATTAACAAGAAACTAACCAAATTTGTTCACTCCACTCTAATATTTAGCACAAAACACTTACCTCGAACTTGCTGTTCCAGAGTCATAATAACCTCTACAGCCATATTCAAAATCCCGAGTTTGGTCTGTGGTTTGTCCGTTTTTAAATGTGCCATGCACATCCTACCTAACTCTTTAAGAGCCTCATTTATATCTCGGATTCTTATTCTAAAAAAATTGTAATAACAAATTAAAACATTAAAATTGTAACAGTTGGTTTACATGTTACAAACATTTTAGATCCGACAAAGAAAATAAAGAATGTTACATACAAGTTTGTATTATTCCAAAACTACAGAGAGAAGACCATCACCTCAGTAAGTATCTAAGAGTTACACTAAAAATTAAATTAGTGTGTTAAATGTCATCTTAAAGTTCACTTTATAATATATGACACTTTTGTGCTTGTTTCATTTCCTATTAGTATATTTATATTAATCAATGTTAACTTAATAGTTTAAAGAAATATAGTCAAATTTTATTAGAAACAACTATTTCTGGAAACGATATAGGATATTACTGTTGATCTCCTGTCCAGCTGCGTTACAATCTTTGATACGGATATGTTTTTTTTTAAAGGATGTTTTTAAGAGGTATATAAACGTAAGTTGATAACACTTTTTTAACTGTCGACCATTTCGACAGCTATCAAGTGATTTATGTTAAGTTTGGTTTGGCATTTCAGCATGAATAGACTTGACGCCTGAACAACACTTCCAAATTATATTTTTTTTTAAATTGTGGTTGTGTTCAAAATACGTGTCGCGCAAGGACTACATCCATATTATGGTCAACATAATAGTCTACTCCATCTTCAACCAGAGCAATGGCTTTCGCACAATCTTCGACACTAAGACCATGATCAGTACCTGTCAATATGTTATAATGATAACAGTCACCAAAACCACCTCGTCGTATTACAAAACAACTCCAAAATAATCATAAATAAAAAAATCCTAAATTGTGGGTGGCAAATTCATTTGGCACTAAAAAATGAACCAAGGTATATTTTGACATGAAACAAAAAACAAAATGCTTAGGAGACATGTTTGCAATCGAAAATTCGCAAATACCAAATTAAAATTTATAAATTTATACACAGTGTGCTAAAAAAATCATCAAAATAGGGCTAAAAATAAAAAACTGAAATACTTTGAATGAAAGTTTCTCCGTTGCGTTTTTTTTGCATCTGAGTGTAGTTCACCTGTCTTCACTTCTAGTATTTTAAATAAAATAGAGATCTTACATCGTTTATATATTGTTTATAAGTAAAAAATGACGTTTAATCTTTTGCATGTTTTGGTTATTATATATTGTTATCACCAAATTTATCAAAAACAGTTTTTAGATCAACGAGTGTCATGGAAAAATCGTTAGTTCCTTGGTCTAATATGCGACTTTATAGAATGATTGTGTGGTTCTATACATTTCAAGTATCTTTTTTATGTGTTCTAGTACTATGTTAGCACTAGAAGAAGCAAACAGTTGGACAAAAATATCTTCTAATTTTTTTTATGATGCTCCATATGTTTTCGACTTTTCTTATCAACTTTTTTTTTGCAAAAATAAAAGACGAAAGGACATCGTAATATCATTGTATAGGAATGGATAGATTGATAAAACATACATTAAAAAAAAACCATTTAAATTTTATAATATACCAGGAAAATTTTTAAACTTACATACTTAATTAAATACATTTTTAATAAGTATTCTAACATGAACTTTAAGATGAAGTACGAAACACATACAAGAATATAGGCCAAAACACAGATTTTCTTATTTTAAAGCATTATAAGACATAAAACATAAAGGCTTACCTGCAAAATAAAATGTTTATTGTTATTAATCGTTGTTGTATTGTTATATTGATTTCAAAATGTATCTTATATATAGTTAAATATAGAAATAAAAAAATACATCTGAAGGATGTAGTATTACGTACCAGCATAAATGCCTTACTTTTAGCTCAAAAATTTGTCTTAGATCACACTACATATTTGTGTTTCGACGATGAGACACTCGAAAAAAAAAAAAGATTGGATTCTTTAACAAATTTCCCACCGTAGTGGACATACTATGTAGCGACATCGACCTTAGAGGACAGAAAATATATACCACTATGTTTCTCTGAACTAAGTGGCAACTGCTAAATCTTTCAAAAATAACAAAAAATGTATCTTATTTCCCGAAAATATTCATCTATTTTCTGTCATCACGAGTAGATGGCGCTACATAACGCACCCACTCCGTAAAGTAGGAAATTTGGTTAAGAGTAAATATTTGGTCAAGTCACGAGTCAATTTTGAATCTGTCACTGCTTGGTGAGGCTCAAATAAAGATCAAAACAAGTCCTAATGGGAACAAAGACTAACTTTTAAAGAGAAACAGCAGACATTTAGGCCTTTTAGTTGATAAGAGGCTTTCTTTCTATATAGGATTTTGAACTCTGAACAAAGACTACCAAAACCAAATATATCAAAAGACACAAAATAGCGAGGAATTGGGAGTAGCTATCGCAAAAACCGTGTTATTAGTTAAAGTTGTTATTCTACGTGAATGGAAGTTTGTCTGAATGGCGAGAAAGATGTTACACACTTTGAACTATGGACTTACAAAGAATACTGAGAATGATTTGGGTGGATACAGTCAGAGAATAGAAGTAATGAAAAAGGAAAACATTAAAATTAAATAAAGATAATATTTAGGGCATGTCATGACGGACGAACGTTGTAACTTTTCAAAAAAAAAGACTACAGGAGTAGAGAAAAAGTTGTGTACTTGTGAAAAAGTACAGGAGTTGTGTACTTAGAGCAACGATATCAAACGTATGTATTGCTTGCAGGAGATTGCACATAAAAAATGAACCGGAAAATAGTTAACAAAAATTAAAAACCATAGAGATGGTGAAGAAGGGAACCTGGCAAAGAAGGACGGAACATGTAGAAGTTAAGGAAGGCATAGGTACATTAGAGGAAATAAATACAAAAATAGAGGTACATAATGCACTTAGCAGATAGATGAGAATATGGAAGAATAAATGGTCCTAGATGGCTCATGAATATGAAAACATTTTTTACAAGATCAGATCTTAGTCTAGAGTTTAGAATTCGAATGATAAGATGTTAATTTTCTCTGTTTTGCTGTATGGCTATGAAATTTGGACAATAGACTCTAACGTAGAAAAAAGAATAGATGCCTTTCAGAAGCTGAGAGTTCCATGGGTACAAAAGGTTATTAACGGTGAGGTACTTCCACGAATGAGTAAACAAACAGAATTACTCAGCATAATTAAAGAGAGGAAAATACAATACTTAAGTCATGTGTTGAGAAGTGAAACTTGGAAAGATCAGTTGGAAGACGCCAGAACTCGTGGCTGAAAGACCCGAGGAGATGGTTTGACCGCTCATCAGTTTCCAAAGCTATAGAAGCTACACCTAATAAGAAGAAGATGGTCAAGGATAGTATTAACTCATGATCACAAAATAACTAAAAACACAAAGAACTCAATCTTTGTTGTGTTTTAATTATCAGCAATGTTGTGCCACTTTTTACCGACAGATTTTTTGTACCTATATGTTGCGGAGAATTATAAAGCATGAATCATCGTTTTATACCTGAATTGAAGCAACAATCTCAAAAGTGGGTAATAATTCATGTTTCTGGGTCCTTTCCTAACTAAAGGGTCAAACAATGAATGAGAAGTACTTGAAGTATATCACCTTGACCCGTTAGATAAAAAAAATTAAAGAGTGAGGAGGTAGAAAGTATGAGATGGGTAAGTGAGTGGGCGGGATGTAGGGTTGGAGGGGAAAAAGAGAGGGGAGAAGAAAGATGGTGAGTGAGAGGGAAAAAGAGAGTGGGGCTAAGGCATGGAAAAATCTGGTTTGCAAAAATTCATTTGATCAGTACAAAACACCCATACACAATAGTCTTGCGAAGCGTGTGATATAAAATGCTACTACACCGAGTAAAAAATATTATATACTTCGACACAGCCACTGGATCCCGATGAAATTTCCACAGCTCATAGAAAATAATCAATATAATTTGCTTTATGAAAACAAAAACATTTATAATACAAACATTTAAAAAAATTTGTTTGTACTTTTAGAAAGTTTCAGAAAAAAAAATTGTTATTTGGGCTTTCAGAAAAGTTTAAAACAGATGAAATTCTAGAGACATATTTTCTATTACAAAACTTCCATGTGTATTGAAACAAAAGATGTTCTTTCGGAAATATCATTCGTAGGATACACAAGAAATAGACAAGTTAGAGAACAGACTGTGGGTGGAGGTGTCAAAATGCAGATATAACACAGTCAAGTGGGACTATGCTGTTGATGGGACTGTGAAGAGATACTTCAGATCATATACTAGTATGTACAGACATGAACTATGCATACATATTAACACAAGGTGGAAGTTTATAAAAACCACGCTGCAAAAGGCTGCAGAAGTTTTGAGCGAGTTACCCAAAGGGCAGCGAAACTGTTTTTATGAAGAATGCAAACAAAGAGAAGAATGACGTGTATCTGAAAATGATCAACAAAAGAACTAGGGACAATATTGAAAAATATCAAGTAAAAAGAAGGAAGGAAAATAAACAAAAACAGAAAAAGAGGCAACAAATCAATAAAAAATTCGAAGAAATGGAAAACATAGAGAACATGAACACAGAAAACTTTACCAACCAGTTAACACAAAGAGCAAAGTTTTCAAGCTACAAGCGAGCCCAGTCAAGGCTCATAAAGGATAACTTTTGAACGAGAGAGTAGAATTACTGAAAAGTTGTCAGGAACACTTTAGTACCCTACTTAATGGAGAAAGTAGAGCTGAAGATAAAGATAATACAGAACTCGAACATGAGGAAACTGATATACCTAGTTTGGCAGAAATAAATAAAGAAATTCAGTCTCTAGCCAGAAATAGGTCACCTGGAGAAGGCAATCTACCCGCAGAAATATTGAAATATTGGTATGACCAGAACGCGCTTTACTAGGGACTGGAATGCTGGAATTATATGCTCTATACCCAAAAAAGGAAACTGGTTTGACTGTTCAAGTTCATAGCTATCAACGAAAAAAAAACACCTAGTATCGTAAGATGAACGGGGGAAAGAATCCTCAAAAAGTGTTAGAAGGGACACCCACAGAAAAACAAAAACGAGGAAGATTAGCAACCACATGGATGAAGAGCATAACTGATGATGATAATGATAGTATGAAGATTGTTTTGCTTGCAACGAATAGAGCAACCAGGTTGCATAGTCCTGGTGAAATGAAATATTAACTTTATGAATGATAGCATGTTCCACACACGGAAAGTAAGTAAGAAATCATTACCGCGAAAAATGATGAATATTCTTAAAACCTTCAAGAATTCGAGTGAATTCAATGAGAGACTATATTGTGAAAAACTATATTGTGTTTTTCGCTATTATAAAAATTTATATATTTATTTTTATATACACAAAAATTAAGTCTCATATGTTAACTTTCTTTGTAACATAAAAAGGACTTCACAAAAATCCCACGACCTTTTATTTTGCACGTAAGCGTAAAAATAAAAATAAATAAAAATGTCCCACCTTTCCCTCGCATTATTAGCCTGCCTCCTCTCTTTTTCCCTTTGCGCTTTAATATCTGGATCTAAATCACCTTCCTCTGTTTCATCAGCACTGGAACAACTGTTGTAACATTTAAAATGGGAGCGTTTACCAACCCAGAGTGATCTTTTTAAAGAGGTATTGAAATCATAGAAAAATATTTGTGCAAACTTTGTATTTTGTAGAATTGCTTCAAGATTTTAAGGAAAAACAGTTATTTACTATTTTATTATATTATCTGTTATTTTGTGCAGCAATCCTAAGTTGCCAATAAATGAGCTACTACTCATTCATAAGGTAAATGGATTGTCTCGCGAATTTCAAAGATAGAGTTGTAGTTCCAACTTTGGATTTTACACTATTGCGTGTAAAAATTGTATGTGAATGACAAGAAACTCGAACCAAAAATCAATAAAGTGTGTCTGCCAACCCACTGAGCTATCGAACCAATTGGCATTATAAGTTAGAGTAAATTATATTTGCACCGCTTACAATGTGTTCCAGGTAGAGGGCATCTTTATTATAAGGCTTTTAATAAAGCGTTTGGATCTTTACTATGGTGTAATACTGACACAATATAATGAAGAATGAAAGACAAGAAAGGGAAATAAAAAGAAAAAGAAATAAAAGAATAAAAAAGCCTGAAACCGGAGCAGAAAAAGGAATAGTAAAAAAAAAAAGTTTTATTTGCCTTGTTATTTAATTAGTGTATATTTCACATATCGTTAGAAATTAATATGGTTATCTGCATATAGATGTGCTGCTAACATTGAAAGCCAATAAACCACATATTCCACTATAGTTTTCCGATGATTGATGTCCTTTTTGAGCACTTTTTATTATTTCAACTAATACTCGAATAAAAGTACTGAACATGACTAGATCTTATGTAAATTCCTTTTCAATTTATACCCTTTAGAACACCATATCGATCACCTGTCTAGCTGTATATGCTGTATATCATATCTGCATTTATAACTTTTATGAACAATGAAAAAACACTTGTTTGTTTGACATTGATTTCCTCAATCGTTGTCAATCAAAACTGAATTATGTATGACATACCAGTATAATCTAAATTTTATTTCTATGATTTCAATTGGATATTTTGAGATTTATACCGACTCAATCCAAAATTGATAACCCATTGACAGCTTTTTGAAATAGAGGTGGAGGTGTGATAGGCCCATATTCAATGTGTTTATATTCTTCAAATTTCAAAAAGTATTATTTAATCAACTAACACTGATATACAAAAGTGTCCCGGGTTTTATTTACAAAAACAATAAAAAAAACTCAATACTAATAACAGATTTCACTAAAGTAAAACGAATAAACAAACATATATGTATAGCAATTTTCCGACAACTGTCATTGTACTTTATGAATAGGCTGTTCAAGATTAAGCTGTCAGGACTGTATAATGTATACTAATTTTTGAATATACCATACTAATAATGACTAGTTTTTGTTAAAATGTATTTAAATATCTGATCGATTCAACGGTTACTTGATAGAATTATTTTATCTAACAATAAAATACTAAAAACTTTTGTTTTTAAAACCTCCACAAAATTTATTATAATATCTTAACATTTACACTTTATGGGCTACAACTGAATAAGTTGAAGAGGGGAAAACTATTTGTCTCGAGTTGGTCATTCACGATTATGTCTGTATTTTTTAATTTGTTAATTTCCATAGATTTTAATAAAGATAGCTTAAGACCTTTATTTTGGATGTGAAGAATTTGAAATTCGTTATTAAAAGAATAATTATGATCTTTATGATGAATTGCGTATATGGAATCTGTTTTTATATTATTGGGTGCCCTTTTGTGCTCTCAAAGTCGTTTGTTACAACGCCACCTAAATGTGGCGACTGCCCAAAAACTTACATCGGTCAAACTGGCAGAACTTGTAACAATCGGATAGCAGAGCACGAGAGTGCTTTCAATAATAGAAAAAGAGATTCTACGTATGTATATTATTAATAATTCTTATCACAGAAAATAAAATATTACATATGGGTAATTCTAAGGCGATACCCCTCTCGATATGGCTCTAATTTTACCGACATATTCTATACTATAAAATATGATGATTTACCAAATGACCTAGGTCCTAAATATCGATCTATATAGGTAACTCAATTTTTTCCAAGAAAAAAACGTTTTCCCTTATTTGACTTTTTTTCTTGGATACCGGAAATACGTTTTCGATAAAAACTTTTCCGCTGAGCACGGTCATGATGTTAAAATTAACCTAACTATCAAAAAATTCGAAAAATTCAAAAACCCGCTTTTTTAAGTTTCAGAAACCCGTCCAGAAGCAATTATTTTTTACAATAATTTTATGAGAGGAATAGATCTCGCCAATCAAAACGTTAGCACATATGATTTGGACCGAAAATCTGCGACATGGAGAAAAGTTTTTTATAGATTAATTATGTACGCTTTCAACCTACAACCTACCTACCTAATCAACCTACCCACCTACTGTATAAAAGAAACATACCAATCAATATTATACAAACCATCGAAAACATCTACCTCCAAAATCGGATACAGGCAAAGATAAATGGAAAACTTAGACAGTGTATAGCAGTACAAAGCGGAGTCAGACAGGGTGACTCGTTGAGCCCACGTCTCTTTAATATGATAATGGACGAAATAATACAAGCAGTACGTACAGGTCATGACTACAGAATGGGAAACAAAGAAATCCAAATATGTTATGCAGACGACGCCGCATTAATCGCCAAGACAGAAGACGAGCTTCAAAGATATCATATCTTCAATACAAGACCTAAGAAATACAATATGATAATATCAGCCTCCATAATTTGCCCATTCAAGTGATCTTGAGATATGATTTTTTTTTCAGAGTATTTTCAAATTTTCCGAATGTATTTTTGGATATTTCATGAGCATCTAGAACACGCTAAACAAGAAAAAGTGAAAAAATACTGGAAAAATTATTTTCTTGGAAAAAATTGAATTACCCATATAGTCCGCTATTTTGGACCTATAAAGTTGAAATTTGGTAAATCATCATATTTTATAGTATACCACACGCCTCTAAAATGTAAGCTAAATTGAGAGGGATCACCTGACCAACTTTGCATAGTTGACGCAGAATTACCAACATGATTTATAGACATTTTATACGCAGAGTCACGTTCAAATCCACTTTATTGTCTCTGGACACCGCAGCTTTACATAAAATGGCTTAAAATGTACAATATGTAATAATTTACTACTTGTAATTTTTGCTGCACCAATCTTTGGACAAAAAAAAACTCCTTTTATTTCGATGCCATACTGTTAATGTAACTATTGTTTTGCAAACATTTACATATATTCAATACAGCCCTTTCCAAAAAATTCATACCCAGAATGCAGTAGATCAAAATAATCTATTCATTAAAAGCCATTTTTGTATTTTCTTTGTTCAATTTGTATCAATAAAAACACACAAAATAAAATGAATTTACTATTAACGTCATCTAATACTTAGACATTTATGTAACTTTTTACAGTCGTGACATCATAGATCTGAACAGAATTTGTCAGGAAAAATGATATAAATAAATTATACAACCATTCACTTAGTGCATTAACAACGATAACTTTTGTAATTCAGTGTTTTCTACAACATGCGTCATGGCCAAAATCCCAAAAACGAATGTTACGAGAATTGTACGTATGGAAATGAATTTTGTATTATGTGTTGAAATAATTTGACAATTCCGTAACATTAGTAATCCGAATATGGGCCTCATTTGGAAGTATTAATGAAATGAGGTATTACGTAGATTTGGAAGGAAGAAATGTACAAGGTAAAAAGTTTTCAGCGAAGGCTAAGGAAGGAGTATATTTAGGGTAACTGTATATGTGTCTTGTGATTGTGATGACGTCATCTGATAGTGTCGACAACCCGTAATAGTAATTTGTTACTTTTTGGTGGCAATTTTCCGTCGTTTATGTGAATGCTCAAAAACTCTCTTCAATCGTTATCGTTGTTTTTCGATCTCTCTGAATTTGACATTGTTTGGTGTATATTTCTATCTATACAGGATTGAAGGCCACAGTAAGTTTGGTTTGGAATTTTTCTAGTACTTCTCTAAACTTTTTCCTGTATATGGAATTCAATCTCTCATTTAAAAGATCTGTTCCTTGTAAATCTTCTTTAGATGCCTCTATTATTGATCTGCAGTGATCTCACACATCGAAAAGTTAATCATAATTTTGTTCTTTTTATAAACAGTGGCACTCTCTCACTTGCGAGGTGACAAGCTCCAATTCATATTGGAAGGTAAGTAAAGTACTGGACAAAACATCAATTGGAAGACGCCATAGAACAATATTTGTGGTTGCGTGCATATTTTCATATACTTCGTTTTATTGGTGTTTATTATTAAACTCATTTTTGTAACCGATTCTTTTAATGCTACACACGTCTCTCGTACAGCATTTTCCGTTCTCCCAACAATATTAATATCATCAGCATAGGCTAAATAGTGGTTGTGATTTGTGACATACGTATTACTTTTTCCAGCGCCAAATTGAACATTATACAGGAGAGAGGGTCTCCCTGGCGCAGCCTATTATTTGTTATAAAAGGTTAAAACATTCCTCTGAATTCGTACTTTACATTCAAGACTTAGTTTTGTTAAATTTACCAACAGATTTGGTATTCCTAGCTCTTTCATTGCTTTGAACATATCTCTTTTATTCACAGAGTCCTAGGCTGCTTTGTAGTCTATAAATATATTGTGATGAGTATCGATGCCATATTCCAGTGTTTTTTCCAAAATCCGTTCCGCATATAATGCCATACAGTGACATAGTACTGTGGAAAATATTTTACATGCTGCATTTAGAAGCGTAATTGCTTTGTAGTTAGAGCATTCAAAGATATCTCCTTTTTTGTGTATGGTGCAAGGTATTCCGATATTCCAATCATTCAGGAGGGATTTCTGTGTCCATATTTCTTTTATAAGCTGCTGTAATGGTATCATAGCCACCTTCTCTATATAGTAAGCTGGTTAATCTATTCCGGGTGATTTGTTTCTGGCTAGTTTTTTAACTGCATCTTTAACTTCAAGAATCTTTGGTGGTTCCTCTTCTCTCTCGTCTGTTCCCCTTACCTCATATATTTTTCTTATTTTTGCAATTTCTCATTTAATTAGGGTCCTAGTTAGAGACGATCTTCCTAGTTTGGAGGCCTCCTTTTATCTTAATATGAAGCTCATCATCCTCAGTAGAGACTCGTCGTCCTAATACAAGGCGATGCCTTTATTTCAATGTTTCCACCGCCAACCCTTACGCGTCAGAATACTTACGGAGCTGTTGTATTGCCTTAATATTTTCTTGTATCGTCTCTATTTTAAACATGTTTAAATCGAAATAAATTAACCAAACGATTATTTTTTTGTTCTTTGAACGCATTTGATTACATTGAATCAGTCATTTTAGTCTTTCTTTTTGTTTTATGAAGATTCCATTTTTTTGGAATTAAAATATGTAAGTTGAATTCTATTTGGGCACTTTTGTTCAAACAGTTGTTTATTCTCTTCCTTCCTGCATTTTGTTATTTTGTGTCTATATTTTACGTGTTTCTCACATGATATATGCAATAAACTATGTGAACCGAAAGCACATTACGTGCTTTCGGTTCACATATTTTATCGGTACTATAAGTTTACTTCTTAGTAATATATAAGTTACTACGTATGGTACAATATTCCTGATTCTCTGAAGGAACACACGCATTTATAAAACTTACAGTTGTCTCTATAGAGAAGTATACTCGCGACTTTACAGCTCCCTTCGTAATAATTTGTCTCATTGGTACTCTACATAATGACCAAAATTGTACAATGGTAGGTGTAAGGTCATTAATGATTACAGATTCTTTTTTTTTTATTTTAGATCAATTTTGTTATACAGTATGTTTATAGTTGTTGAAAGTTGTTCTATTAAAATCAAAATGTGCCTTGTCCATTAAAAATTTTTGTTATTGTACCTGGCGTACAATGGATACAATGGAGCAGCATTGTATTATTGGCGACGACCATGGAGCAGAAACAGTCAATGTATGTTTCAACATCGGGCACATTACAGTCTGATCATCTAAATCCACTCATCCTAATAGTTATTTTGACTAAAACTCAAGAAATGAATCTTTCAAAAATGAAATGGTCCACACCATCTCTTTTTAATTTTTATACACTCTTTGACCTAAGTACCCTTTAAACTGATACGTTTTATGCGTAGATTATAAGTTGTTTTTTCGTTATCTTCTGTTTTCAAACTACAGTGGGACCCCTTTTGAAAAAAACCAAGTAGTCTTTGTAAAATTTGTTGTTGAAGAGTTTGAAAAAATGTAATATTGGTGTTGGGTGGTGGAAAAAGGAGGTAGGACAATAGAGAAAAAGTTTAAAAATACAATATTGTTGATTACATACCGCTCACGAACATTATTGGCCTGTCTACGCTCTTTCTCGCGTATGGCCTTGCTGCCGGGGTCGTCAATTTCATCTTCGTCAGTATTACTTAAACAGTTATCAAGACTTTCCAGATTTGAACATTATATGCACACAAAACAAATATTAACAATGGCAACATTATTATTAAATTAATCATTTTTTATATCATTAAACAATGTTAAAGTGACAGTACATCAAATATAACAGAAACCTTTATTTTAGAAGGGCGCTTCTAAAGACAAAAGTTTTCAAATAGAAGGAAATGAATAACATGAGGAAGAATTTTAATTTTATGACTTATCAAGTTTATAATTCTATGATCTTTGGAAAATGTGTTGACTGGAAAATTTCAGGCAAGTCACCAGCTTCATAAATTTTATTAAGTATATTTGTTGAGTCAAAACTATAGGGGAATCTCCTTGCTGTGTTGGGGATATAAAATATTAACCAGTATCCTTAACCATAGACTACAACTTATTTATTTAATACAAGGGATAACCCCATTAACACTTAAATGACAATATACAATATCACAGTTAGGACTCAAAACTTGAAATTACTTGTGATATAAAATCAATATCAAAAAGTTTTAAAAATGAGACTAAAAATCTTACATACTAAAAATATAACAAGAACAAAATTCAACAATACTAATATACATATCACAAAGCAAAGAATATTTTTAACTGAGTGAACGTTATATTGAAAATATCAAAATCGTGGACATTTAATAGTCCCATGTATCTATCCAATGAGTTCTGAATAATATCATAGGTTGTTCTGTGAAAAAGAACATTAAATACATTGTGGTAACGTAGAGCTTGGAACATTAAACTTAATCTGGCTTAACAGGTTTGCACAATCAATAAATCCATGTATAATCTTATATATAAGTATAGCTCCTGATATATCGCGACGGTTCTTGAGTGAAGGTAAAGACAATTGTTGTTCGATATGGGAATAATCATGATTTCCAATAGTAGTGTGGGCATGGTAAGCACAATATCTCAAAAATGTATGCTAGATTCTTTCTATGGTATCAATATTGTTCTGAAAATATGGTGACCAAGTAACTGAACAGCATTCCAAAATAAAAAGGTAAAAAAGAAATAATTAGACTTACTCACAATCAGTTTAATTTTACTACCTCAGACGACCGGTTTCGCTTTCTAAAATTTGCAAAGCATCATCAGGACGGTGGTATAAAGTAAATTAAATGCTGAAATTATAAAAAGCCCATATTATATTTACTTTGTAATATATAATTTGTATAATTTACTTTGTACCACCGACCTGATGATGCTTTGCTAATTTTAAAACGCGAAACCGGTCGTCTGAGGTAGTAAAATTAAACTGATTGTGAGTAAGTCTAATTATTTCTTTTTTACCTTTAAAAATGAACTCACATAAGCAACACATTCATGATATTCCAAAATAGTTCAAACTGACCAACAATATACTAATCTTGTTGATTCCTAGTAACGAAATTACTTGCAATACTTGCAATTCCTAGTAACGAAACCAAAAAGTTTAGATGCCTTTATTGAAATAGTGTTAATGTGGTTACAGAAAGTAAGCTTCTCATCGAAAATAACACCCAAATACCGAATAGAAAAACACATAATTCAAATGGCTGATTATTAATAGTATAGTTTGTGCCAAGTCTATTGACTTTAAGAGAAAAACTTACATTTTTTTATATTCAAGTGGAGTTTGTTTAAGCTATCTATAACTTTCCAAAATTTCAAGTCATATGGCAACATTAGACATTTGCTATTTAGGAAACAGAACTTCGTCGTTAACGAAGATATTATAAAGAAGTGGAGAAGTGTGGCCTCCTTGAGGAACTCCAGATGTTACTGTGATACTGTCAGACAGATGACAAGCTATCTCGACTCTGTGACTTTTCCCAGATGTAGAGTTTTTAATCCATTCAACAAACCTGACATGAAAGCCTACATTAATTAATTTGCCCAAAAGTATTTGGTGATCTACACGATCAAATGCTTTAGAAGAATCTGTGTATATTGCATCTACCTGTTTACTGTCTTCCATACGAGATAATATCAGATTGATAGCAAACCAAGTTTGTTGCAGTGGATTTTTTGCTATAAAAACCATGTTGTGGTTGAAATGTATTAAGTCTTTACATAACCAAGAAAGTTTTTTTGCTATAAGACAGTCGAAGAGCTTAGGGATTGATGGTATACAAATGCTACGATAATTTTCAATGTCTTTCTGACCATTTTTAAATATAGAAGCAACATAACTTTATTTTCATGAAGAAGGAAACATACAGGTTTCCAGAGATCTATTAAACAATATAAGAAATGGTATTACAAGGTACAGACACACTTTTTTAATAAAAAAATTAGGCACTCCATCTGGGCCAGCAGTAAGCTTATTGGGCAGCCCATTTATGCCATTATAAACATCATTGATGGTAATCTTAGAAGGACAAATATTTGTACTAAAGATACTATTTAATGGATGGATAAGTACGTAAAGGTTGTTGTTATTTGGTGAATACATAGTTTGGAAGAAGATCAAAATAAATTAGCTATGTCTTAACCATTTCTTGCAGATTGGACTTGATAAAATAAAGAGTTACGTAGATTATGACTAGATTGCTTATCATTGATGTACTTCCAAAATATTTTGGATCATTTCTTAGGCCAGTATCTTTACCTTTAATGCAGTTGCTAAAGCAAATTTCAGACAGTTGTTTACATTCAGCTCTTAGCTGGGAAAATCTAATATAGTCATAACCAGAACGATTATTAACATAAATATAGTGAGTAGTTTTTTTTCTCCAGAGTCAGTCTTCCAAGATCAGCAGAGAGCCACTTCAGAAAAGTTGAAGTTCTATGTTTCTTCAATGGCACAAGTAAGTAATTCCTATAGAAAGAACTTCATAGAATAATTTTAAGAAAATTTAAATGAGGAGTTTTTATTTGAATCGACAATAACAAGCAATATAACCTACAATTGCATTGACACAATTATAATATAATATACTAAATTGAATTAACACAGAACATAAACCCAGACAGAAGTGGTTATTATAGTTACATCAACCAACTATTGACAGTGGCAGCCGTAGCTCAGTGACTATGTTACTGGCTTAACAAGCTAGAGGACCCGGGTTCGAATCCCGCCACCGACAAAATTTTCAATTTCTAATTTAACTGAGCTGCCACCGTTCTTCGGAGGGCACGTAAAGCCTCGGTCCCGGCTATTAAAGTAGTCGTCATGTTAAGTCATGTTAAGGGCGATTGCGTGACCTGAAAACCCTAAGAACTCTTGTTAACGACAACGGTCAATGGGTCGTTTTTGACACCGTTCCGTTGGCCGGAATATAAAACCGTCTATATATGTAAATAATACCAAACTTGAGCAAGTTGATAAAATCGTCTACCTTTGGACAGCAATTAAATTGTAATGCAGAAAATCACGGCGAAATTAGATCCAGAATAGAGCAGGCTAGAGCTGCTTTTAGAAGGATGTTCAAGGTGTTATGTAACAGAGACCTAAAATTGGCATTAAGGATCCGCCTACTTCGCTGCTACGTGTTCTCGGTCTTACTTTATGCTGTCGAGTCCTGGACTGTGAATAAAATCAATCTAAATCGCCTTGAGGCTTTCGAAATGTGGTGCTATAGAAGAATTGTAAAAGTTTCCTGGGTGGAGAAGATTCGTAACTCCACATTACTAGAACGTCTCAGCAAGACTACTGAGATCATAAAAAGCATCAAGCAGAGAAAGCTGGAATATTTCGGACATAGGTAATGTCCCAAATATAGATTGCTACAAAATATCATGCAAGGAAAAATAGCAGGCAAACGCAGTCCAGGACAAAGAAGAACCTCATGGTTGAAGAACTTGCGAGATTGGTGTGGTGTAGATACAAGCATGGTGCTATTTAGTGTGGCAGTGGATAAAATTAAAATAGCTATGATGGTAACCAACGTTCTGAAAGGACATGGTACATGAAGAAGAAGAAGTTGGCCGTTGCTCAATGTCTTTCAGGTTCTTATGATTGTGTGTTCACGCAACGACAACGAACCCGTTGGTTAACTTTTCACCGTCTACGTATCCAGTCCCCCTCGGCAAGACGTTCGACGGGACGGTGCCGTGAACCCTCAGTCAACCATTTCAGTTTATGCAAGTGAGTTTATGCAAGTGTGTTAACGGCGTTGGACGAGCATCCGTTGTTTAAATAAATTTCTTTCTTTGTTGCCGCTAAAATATGGATTTTGTTATGGAGATTTTAATAAGTTATTTCACCAGTTATATAGTTTATATAGTTTATTAGGTTTTTTTATAACCGAAAGTTTTTATTCTGTTATAATAATAGCATAATTCATACATAGGTAACAGCTAGTCGATCAACAGGTGCAAGGGATAGCCTCATATTAGTGTCAGCACGTTTTAATTTATCATGTACTATTCCTAACAATTAGCGGAAAGTTTCTTGACCTATTCGGAAATAATTGAAGAATTTTGTTTCGTCTTTTTTCAATTCTTCGTAAAGTGTATGAAAAGCACCATACTTTTCTCCTTTCTAACAAAATAGGATGTATCTTGTCTTTTGCACTTCTCTCGTTGCTTCTGCACTTTTTATGCAAATAACAGGCTAGTATAATTTTTTTCTTTGACGACAACATGATATAACATGTATTGCGTGCACTTGTTACTTTAAAACTGACGATATTTCGGAGATTCCATACAAAATTATGAACTGTCAACACGGGTACCCGTTTAGCATCGGCCCGTTACCCGTTGAAAAAAGCGTTCGTTAACAAGAGCCCTAACACTAGACCTTAGCGAGTAGGTTACACGAACTTTACTTTATTGACAACACCTATTTGTTGGGTTGTTGGGTTCTATTTTCCCATTTAACCCATACTGAATATAAAACATGAGACAGACTATAGTAAGAAGTGAACTAAATACTTTGTGGGAAAAATATCGCAAATGAATGATGAGCCAATCATCCTATTTACTAGAATAGTATCTGAAAACAAGAATGGAAGGATACTGAAATTTCCACAAGTTCATGATGAA